CTGTCAGGGTGAGGGGTCCCCAACACTAATGGGTCCTCAGGAGTGACTTTGTGATTGTGGAAAACATTAAAGACAGACCGACAGACAGCTGAGCACAGGGGCGCTTCATTCCATGTCAGGGCTGAGAGAATGTATTTTCCAATAGGTATATATAATGGGCTTACAGATCTTTCATAAGGCATGCATATCATAAAGCTAACATCAGACATAATCAATAAGCAGGTAACATAATAAACAAGCAATGAGATGAGTCAGTGTCTTGACTTAGTGTTAGCTGACCTCAACAACGCCACCCCCCCACCCCATCCCAGACCCTCCCAGGTGGGTCAGCTATAGCACCTGATTGCTTATCTACAGAAAACCTTTAGGCATTGTGAGGTAGCCAGACACAGCAATGATTCGTCTTATATAGTAGCTACTTTATGGGGGATTAATGGGGGGACAGTGTCCAGTCCTGAGATGTATATTAAGATGTATTTATATCTCCTAACTGGGAGAGTCTTCCCCCACCAGAGTCGTATTATGAGCATGGATGAGTTAGCCGCATGACACTCTCATCCAGGCCCTCAGTTTACCACAAAGCCCCTCATGGGCAGCTGCTCTCCGGGCTGACTCCCACGGGACATTCTTTTTCTCCACCTTCCCCAGGAAGCAGCATCCTGTGCCCTTCAGGGCCTGCAACACGGAAAACACGTGCTGCACGTACCAACGGGAACATTTGGATAACAGCCAGCCCTGGTTAAAGGGACAGGCCCTCTTGCTGGAGGAAGCTTGGAGTGGGTTCAAGATCTAGCAATCTAAAAAAATAAAAATAAAGCTGTTAAAAAAAAAATCGAGCAATCTGATGAAAGGAGAAGGAAATCGAAGTCAAAGGAGTGGAGGCAGGCCGGGCCAGGCTGAAGCCTTCCCTGCGGAGGGCAGTGTCCCCAAGAGTGATCTCTGCGCGAGCTGGAAGGAGATCCTCCTCATTGGCGGTTCAAAACCACCGGCAGCTCTGTGGGAGAAAAAGTGGGCTTTCTACTCCCGTAAACAGTTACAGTCTTTATTGACTCCACGGCAGTGAGTCTGTTTTGTTTTTCACTCACACAGGGAACGTGACCATGGGAATCCCAAGGATTCTTTCCAGCCACAATGCATCACCGAGGGCCCTAGCCAAAGAGGAGGGAGAACCGGCTTCTGATCCTGTCTCCGTAACTCTGGCTCCACAGCAGTGCCACACACACACACACACTCTTCCTTTTGCAAATGGGGGAGATAGGCGCCAACTCACAGGGCTCCTTTCTCCTCCTCTCTGCTCACCCCTGCGGTTCCTTCTGGAAAGTTCTGGAATCTCCATCTGTATCCTCCTGAACTCAAAACATCCGGGGGCGCATTCTGGCACCAAGTCTGCTCGCCAGCTGCAGAAAGGTCCCCGCCCTGGGTCCCCACAGGATGTAGCGACTGGATCTTCATGCTCGGCTTCTTGCCCCCCTTCATTACCCGTGAGTCCCTTTGGGCCTCCTTTCAACCCGCTGCCCAGTGATGATTGCTAAGGTTCCCTGGGAGTGAGCCTGTCTTGTCAGAATAACCGGGCCGGCTGTGTTCAGATTGTACCAACCGTATTTCTACATTGTAAAAAGAAAAGGACAATGTAAAATATGAGTGAGGAAATAAACACTACACATTGCCCCAGCCCCTGGCAGTGGTCACTGTACGTATGCGGCTGTCATTTCCTTCCAGCACTCTCTATGCATTCTGCTAAGCCAACCCGAGCCCTTGCCAGAGAGCTGGCCCCGTGTGTTAAAGGGTTTTATTATTTTATTTACTTATTCTCCCTCCGCCCCACAGGTTTTCTTTCCTATAAATCTCTACAGAACTGATGGCCAGATCTTTCTTCCTCAGTGCTGCTCGGGGGGCTTGATCCGCCACACTTTGATCAGTTGTACTGCACAAACCATTTACACCATCCAGGGACCTATCAATATCCATAAGCGCATATCTTTTCTAAATGGGGTCATTCTGTATATGCTGCTTTCCCCCACTTAACATCCTACTGGGAGCGTATTTGTGCTGCCAGAGCAGCCAGAGCACATGGCTGATTTGTGCTCCTCTCGACGACAGCTCGCTGACCATTCCATCCTCACAGGAGCCCTGGGACATGCCCCTATTGCCCTCATTTGCAAAATGAGGACCCTGGGGCTCAGAGAAGTGGCCTCAAGGGCTGGACATCATTTGCCACCTGCTCTGCCAGCCTGGACCTCTTCCTGGGGAGTCTGCCCCACTCTAACCCTGCCTAGGACTCTACCCACCCACCACTGCTCTAAGTCTGAAGACCCTCTGGAGCCTCGTTTGCTGGAAAGAGCCCCAAGGCCCTGCCAGGGGTCACTACCCAGGAAGTGGGGGGCTTTTTTTCCCCAGAGGTGGCTACCCCTACCTTTTTTCCCAGAGGTGGCTATCTTCTGGTTCAGGATTTCCTGCCCCAAACGTGAAAACCAAACTCCTGACCAGCAAGTCAATCCTGACTCGTACTGATCCTATAAGAGAGGGGAGAACTGTCCCTGTGGGTTTCTGAGACTGTACATTTTTATGAGTGTAGAAAGCTTCATCTTTCTCCTGCATACAGATGGTAGGTTTGAACTGCTAACCCCTCAGTTAGAAACCCAACATATAATCCACTAAGCCACCAGAACTCCTATCCAGTCCCTAGAGTTATTTATTGAGCGTTGGAGAAAGAAAACCCTGTCTGTGAAGAGGCCCTAAAGTATGTCGACATTCATTCATTCCACAATAAGCCCCTCAGCATCGAGACCTTCCTGGGGCCCAGAGTTCCTCCTCTTGACTCCCAGGGACACAAAAGCAGATTAAGTGATTCCTTTCTGCATTTCTGTCTACCACAAACTCATGACAACGGCGGCCAGTACCTCTGAACACATTTGCGTCCGCCCTGGACCAGGGCCCCAGGGCCTAGCTGTGATGCTGTGCTGTGGATCAAGAAGATCAAGGCGGAGAAAGCAGAGGCATTGCTCTGCACTGGGCTAGCATGCGGTAGAGGACCGGGCAGGAGGCAGTCCAGGTGGGATGCTTACCCAGTGACGGCCCGAGCCTGCCGGCCTGCAAGCCTGCACTCCCTGCGTCTGGGTCTGGGTCTGCTCCATTGTGTGACAGGATCATAACAATGCCCATCTTTTCTGGACTTTGCTGTGGATCAAATGGGGAAAATGAGGCCAACTACTTAGAAAGAGAGAGAGAGAGTTCCAGAATCGGGAGGGATTTTACCCAGTGATTAGGAGTCGGTATTATCAGAGCCCAAATCCAGGCCCTGCAAGTACTAGCCGTCAGATTTCGGACAAATGACTGCGAGTCTTTGCGCTTCGGTTTTCTCCAGGGCCAAATGGAGAATAACAGTGGAGGCCCTTGGGTATGGGAAATAATGACATGAAATAGAAGTTGAGGTTTCTTGTGGGGAGGGGGGTGTTTCAGTGCATAAGACCCCATGAGTAGATGCTATTTGGTCCCCACTTACAGGTAGTAAAACAGGTTCACAGCTATGGATACTGCAAGGTGTGGTCATAGGCTTGGGGTATAGACATTGTGGTCGCCTCCCGGGGCCCAAGGCATGGTATTTTCAATCGCATCCTATGCACGTGAAAGTTGGACATTGAGTAAGGAAGACCAGGGAAGAATCGGTGCATTTGAACTGTGGTGCTGGCGGAGAATACTGAAAATACCGTGGACTGCCAAAAGAACCAACAAATGTGTCCTGGAAGGACAGCCAGAGTTCTCCTAGGAGGTGTGAGAAATAAGTCGCCAGGCCAGTCCATCTTCAGCAAACAGAGCCATGTTTCTAAATCAGCAGGGCACCGATGATAACCCTCAGAGCAATCACCAGAGCTCAGGGACCTGGGGTTTGGAATGTGGGAGCAGGATGAATTAAGCAAGTGGGGGAGAAAACTCTTAGGCAACATTAAGGGAAAGATTGTCAGTCAACGGGGAACTGGGGGAAGGGGCTTGTGAACTAGTGGATAACATATTTCCAGAGGGGCTGTGAGGCACGCCCCCACCCCATTGTTTGCCTCATTTGTCTCTGGGCTTGGGTGCCGGATTTTGCAAAATCGAACAATAAAGGCTACTTTCTCGATAAAAGTGAGCACAGATTGGATTTCTTGATCATTCGTCGTTAAAATCCAGCGTTAGGCCAATGAGAAACATGTCATAAGGGCTAAGGCAATCCTCCCCAGTACTCCATCTGACAGACCCATCTCGGCTAGGGCCCAGATTAGGGGTTGATGCTCAGCTGCCAGTTACCAAGAGGCACCAATCAGGCGTCCGGGGTTTCGACAACCTTTCTCACAGAGGCAAGGATGGCGAGACTTCATCTCAGGTACTTTGGCCTTGTTGCCAGGCGAGCCCAGTCCCTGGAGAAGGACATCATGCTCGGTAACGTGGACGGGGTTTGGGAGAAGAGGAGGACCCTCGACAAGATGATTGACGGAGAGGCTGCCACAACGGGCCCAAACCCAGCAACTATTGTGAGCATGGCGCAGGCCCGGGCAGTGCTGCATTCCGCTGCACAGGAGGGCGGAACCCACTGATGTGCAGCCTCTAAGCACAGCGCCCCTGCGCTACCCCTCCGCGC